AAAAATAATCGGCCGATTCATCGATTTTTAAAATAATCGTTAGTTGCAGCCCTAATTTTTATCCAAACAGAAAATACAACAGAGACAAACATGAACATAATCTAAAATTATTACAGAACAAACAGCTCAGAAAATAAACCAGGAGGTGTGGTGCCTCCACATTCAGGGATAAACATTCACACTCACCTCTCCATTTCATATTCTTTCTTTCCAGGTCGGACATTTTTCATCACCTGAAGAAATATCATGCAGATAAAGATTATAATTTTTAAGCCCTTATTATTATTAACAAATAAATTTTATTGCATTATTGTTGCAAGCAAAGAAAATTTTGGTTAATTGAAATGTGAGAAAACACATTTTGTTAATTTAATATTTGAAAAGAATGCAATACAGAAATTCTAAAGTTTTAGACTTTATTTCTAGATTTATTTTTCTATTATTGTTTAACAATTATTTTTCATCTATTTCCTTTAAATTACTCTTTCCTAAGCAAATATAATTGTTTTTTAAAATGTACCCTTCTCTTTTCATTTCCAAATTTCTTTTCCTTAAATTTAGTTTTGCAAATTGTTTTTTTTTCCCAAATTTCCATTGAACAGATCTTATTCTCTTCACTTCTGGGCTTTTCTCTGGAGTGAGGAGCAAACATGCATTTCTATTGGTCTGTATGGAAGTTAGTAGCAACATTCTAATGGTCGAAGTGCGCAGCAAGAGCGAGTTGTTTTGGGTGAAGAGAAGGTGATCTGTAAAATTTAACTTAAAAAGAATGCAACTAACAAATCTCAATCTGAAAAAACAGATTTATAAATAAACACGGAGTCATCAGATTCCACTAGTAATTTTTTTTCCAACACATACATGACATACATCTCTGATGACAGTTGAATTCCTCTGTGAACCAATCAGATTAAGGTCTGACAGCGGTCACATTTATGTGGTGGTGTAAAAGAGCATGAAAAAAGATCAGGATTTAGAAAAACAAAAACCAAAAACAGCATGAAACCCTGCTGTGTTAACGTAGACCTGTGCTCTATTTCTGAGGATCCCAAACCTTTCAGCCTGTGACTAGGGGTGCACCGATTGCAGTTTTCCGGCCGATTTCCAATCACCGATCTTTAAAAAGTCTGACCTGCCGATTCCAATTTTTGGTTGATACCGATTTTTTATTTTTTTTTATTTTTGCTATAACCAACACTGTGTTACAAGATCGCAATTCACTGTCAATGTTACAATCTTTTCTTGAAAAACATGCCCTTGAACAATAGCCTTGAACCATTATAAACTTGTTTTAACTGCCCATGAGGTAGAGCCTTGACATAGAAATGAATTAAACAATAAATATTAATTAAATAAAACAAACTTAAGACTACAACATTGGTCTTTTGATTTTTTACATTTCAAAAAACAAAACTTCAACAAAAGATCAGAAAAAATATGGAGTAGCAACTGATTTTAAGACACTCGCGGAGGTAAATAGATCGGTGGTTAAGATCGGTTTCATATGTAAATATCGGCCGATCACCAATCAACCTAAATTAAGGAAATCGGGGCCGATCGATTGGCCGGCCGATTTATCGGTGCACCCCTACCTGTGACCTAATATATAACAATGAAACAGACTCGAAAACTTTAAAACCTCACTTAACATTCCTTTATATATATTGAAGTAAATACATTTTTTTTTGTTTATAAATAACAATAGTTTGATTAATCACTTTCATTAATGGATTTGGAATTATTTACAGTATTTTCCAGACTATAGAGTTTACCTTACTATAAGCCGAACCTGAAAGTGCTTTTAGAAAAACTGGAAACGTACATCTATAAGCCACACTGGGCTATAAGCCGATAATATCCACTGATCTGTCCACCAAACCTGTGGGGGGAGCTCTACAAAATATGGAGGACTAACTCTGCCATATTCAGAAATAAATACAGAAATAAGTGCTCAATAAATAAATAAGCATATAATTAATTGCCCACAAAAATACAATAAACAAATAAATGTAGGTAGAAATTAAATTATATTGTGAGACATAAATGTATACATCTATTTAATAAGCTTCTTTATTTATTTGCCTTTGTAATAATTACCTTATTTATTTATTGTTTGTTATAATCTTCAACTTTATTTATCTATTACCTATTTTTTAAGTATTTATTTATGAGCATGTGATATTTTTGTCTTGTTTTATTCTTACTTTGTATTTTTTTTAATCTATTTCTTCAGTGCTATTTATTTCTGCCTGTCTTTAAATTTCTGTCTGCATTTCTGCCTCATTATGCAAATGAGCAGGGATGTGTCTTAGAGGCTGAACTTCTGCCCATTGGTTGGCAGCCATCTATTTACATCTATTCAATTCATAGTCATTTTATTATTTCATGGGACATTTACATTTATGCACTACATTCTATATTTCTTCCCTATATATTTATCAGGAAAAACCGTCTTATGACCCTTTTAGTACCAGTAAACTAAATGAGTCTTAAACTTCTGCACTGATTTTTGGATTAACCACTTCTTGATTTAAACTGCTTAAATAATTAAATTCTTCCTTTCTTAAAGCTACCTCTCATGATCCTTCTTAATAAAGGATTATATTACCATTTTGTGAGCTTCACTGGAAATCCTGTTGGTGTAGCGCAGGACCTCCAGCTCCATATCAGTCTTCAGCAAACGGCTGCAACAAAAACAATCGAGAGTAAAAGGATAATAAAAAAGATAGCAATTAAAACTTTACTAAGTAGACCTATATGCTGGTATGTCTGTTTTTTACCTTTTAATATACAATTGCTTATGACACACAGGTTTTCAACCTAAGCAACTTTCAAACTGAGACATGTTGGAAATTTAATAAATTGTTAAAGAAGGTAAGAAAGTAACGCAAATTCTGAAAACAAACATAAGATATGTCAACATTTCAGGAGTATGTAAAACTTATTCTGGATTTGAGGGGACAGGAAATGTGAAAGGTGAGGTACTAAATTTAAATCAAATCTGTTAACTTCTGATATTTTGAAATTCAGATCATGACTGTTTATGCTGGTGAAGATTTTCAGTCATCCAGGTCATAGAAACTCTAAAAAAGTAAAAAAACAAAACAAAAAACAATCCACTGGACTTTGTTTCCAAGTTTGAAGACATCCAGGAATCTATTTCCTGGTTAAACATAAGCATGACTGGTTATATTTAAAGGAAAGAAAAAAAAGAATATTCTAAACCATTTTGAGCAGTACTTAATGAATCTAAAAGATGCACAGCATGTGGACCATCTTCAGGAATTCATTTTATACCATTAGAGATACTAAGTTTTTAAAGTTTTTAAAGACTGAACTAAAATTATGTCCAAATATTATTTTAAAACCAAATATAGATTGATTTCTTTTTAATACAAGATACACAGATTTAATGGGGTTTTAGTCAGGATGCAGGTTAAGATCCTCACTCCAACACATGGAAACTCCTGAAAAGTTTAAAAAACAAACTAATTCACTTCATGAAAACATTTAAACCTCTTTTTTTAGCTTTTTCAAATCTTAAGAAAATCTGAGAAGTTTTTTTTTTAAGAACACAACTTTCTAACCTGACAACAGCCAGATGCATGTCTCGCTCCGCCTAGCTCCACTCACATACATCTGGGAAACCGCCATAGGAATTGCCTTTACTGAAGGCTGGGCCTTATCAAAATTCCTTGCATATGATTGGATAAGCCACTTGTCTGTCATCTTTATTGACGTGCTATTTCAACCACTCACACCGAAGCTAACCCGTGACGCTGTGAGAGGAGGAGCCATTTGGTAGATCAAGCTCTTGCCAAATCCGGTCGTGAGAAGGGGGAAAACATAGTTTCCACCAACAAAAGCCTTCAAAGCCGTTCTCTGATGTTCTTTTAATGAAACAATATCAGATAGATTGGACAACACAGAAGAAATAGCAGCATCAGTGCTAACGCTTGCTTCCTCAATGCGAGCCGCCATTGTTGTTGGAATCTCACGGTCGCTTCTCCACTCCAGGACACACCCGCCCTGCGTCCTGATTGGACAGACCATAAATTCGGTTGGGGAAATCACTTTCAATGAGCGGGTTCCCAGATGTATGTGAGTGGAGCTAGGCGGAGCGAGACATGCATCTGGCTGTTTTTAGGTTAACAACTTTCAGCCACAAAAACTGAAGTCCACTTGATAAAATACTATATAAGTAACAGGATAAGAAGCTTTACTTCCATCAATTGGGACCTAAATGTTATAGCAAGGGTGGATTTGTATTTAGTTATGTACACTCATCGGCCAATAGGTACCCCATGCTAGTAACGGGTTGGACCCCCTTTTGCCTTCAGAACTGCCTCAATTCTTGGTGGCATAGATTCAACAAGGTGCTGGAAGCATTCCTCAGGGAGTTTGGTCCATATTGACATGATGGCATCACACAGTTGCCGCAGATTTGTCGGCTACACATCCATGATGCGAATCTCCCGTTCCACCACATCCCAAAGATGCTCTATTGGATTGAGATCTGGTGACTGTGGAGGCCATTTGAGTACAGTGAACTCATTGTCATGTTCAAGAAACCAGTCTGAGATGATTCCAGCTTTATGACATGGCGCATTATCCTGCTGAAAGTAGCCATCAGAAGTTGGGTACATTGTGGTCATAAAGGGATGGACATGGTCAGCAACAATACTCAGGTAGGCTGTGGCGTTGCAACGATGCTCAATTGGTACCAAGGGTCCCAAAGAGTGCCAAGAAAATATTCCCCACACCATGACACCACCACCACCAGCCTGAACCGTTGATACAAGGCAGGATGGATCCATGCTCTTCTGCCCACCTTGGTTGTAACGGGTGGTTATTTGAGTCACTGTTGCCCTTCTATCAGCTCCAACCAGTCTGGCCATTCTCCTCTGACCTCTAGCATCAACAAGGCATTTCCGCCCACAGAACTGCCGCTCACTGGATGTTTTTTCTTTTTCGGACCATTCTCTGTAAACCCTAGAGATGGTTGTGCGTGAAAATCCCAGTAGATCAGCAGTTTCTGAAATACTCAGACCAGCCCTTCTGGCACCAACAATCATGCCACGTTCAAAGTCACTCAAATCACCTTTCTTCCCCATACTGATGCTCGCTTTGAACTGCAGGAGATTGTCTTGACCATGTCTACATGCCTAAATGCACTGAGTTGCCGCCATGTGATTGGCTGCTTAGAAATTAACTGTTAACGAGCAGCTGGACAGGTGTACCTAATAAAGTGGCCGGTGAGTGTATTAAGCTGCTTTGTTAGTTGTGTTGCTGTTAGCAGGAAGGTCCTGGGTTCAAATTCTAGTCTGCATGGAGTTTTCATGTTCTCCCCTATGCCCAAAAATATTAATGTTATGTTACATTCTTGCTCTGTATATAAGGAGGTAAATACAGTATGCCCCCTTAAATTACCATTAGGTGCGAGGGTGTGCTTATGCAGGCATGCATGACAAGTAGGTATAGAGAAGGAAAGGATGGGTTATTTTTCAAATTCAATGAGTTATTATAAATAAACTTTATTTTCTCATTTATTTGAAGCATTGCTATGGATACATTTCAAAAATAAAGGTTCGGCAATGGTAACCAGTAGAAACACCGACGGCTATTTAAAAAAAACACAAGATAAAATAGGAAACCAATTAAAAGAGATCTTTGTTGCTTCCAGCAAAAGGAGGGAGGCAAAGGGTTAAATCCAGCTCTGCGCTCCAAGAGGTGTGACTGAACGACACTCTTCCTCATTTCTGAAAGCATCAATTCATCTGGAGGGTTCAAACTCTAACAACAAAGACAACCAGGAAAGCACGTAGTTCATTCTCTCCATGCAGAGGGATTTCTGCCTCAGACAGGAGAAAAACAGAAGTAGAAAACCACCACCCTGATTAAAAGCGCAAATACATTTCCCCAGGACGTGTTGACTGTTGAAAAATTCTGCTGAAGAAACATTTTGGAGCCTCTGAGGCAAATTTTCTCAGCCATAATGGATAAAATGCAGTTCAACAAACTCACCATTCCACAATGACTGGGTGTAAAATCTTGTTGTCTACTTGGAATCTGAGAAAAAAGGCGAAAGGTCAAAATAAACAAAATGGAAGGTAATGATCTATAAGCGGTTCATAAAACATATCTATGAAAAGATACAGAACATAAATATGAGCAGGCAGAATAAGAATAAAGAACAACACCACATTTCTCTAAAGAAGAGTAAAGCCTAATTATAGTTATCAAAATACATTTGGAAAAAAAACCACCAATACTCAGAAAAAAGGGGGGGGGAAAAATTAAATTGAGGCAAATTAAACATACCCAGTGATTCCATCAAAGGAGGCTTCACGGCAGGTGTTTCCACTATCGGTGTTCTGTCCACGCTTAAAATGAAAACAAAGGGATCAGATTTCCAACTCTACCAGAGAACATATGGTAGGGATAAAACTAACAGCTCAGTGGGTATGTATGGATGGATGGAAGGATGGAATAAGCCTGTCATGACATTTGAAAATAAAAAAAAGTAATCCTCCTGAAATTGTTTTAGATATCTACAAGGGCTTGAACGCATTGATTTTAATTAACTATGTTTAATTCAATGCGTGAATAAACCTTTAAATTTACACTCTCTTGTGAAAACATAAATTTGATGTAACAATAGTATCCTAAGTGTTTGTCCAGTAGTGGTTTCCAAGCTTTAAAACCCTCTCAGGAGAACTCATGTTGGTATAGGAGATATATTTTCAGCGCTAATGTTTGTAACCACATCTACAGTGAGTCCATATCGACCAGAGGAGGAGCTTCAGAGCAAACACAGTAAGTAAAAATGTGAATAATTAATTACAGATCCTGTAATTAACTGGATTGAAATTTTAATCATGTCCCAGCACAAATATTGAGACAATCTATTGTACAAGATGTGATCGAATGCACCACAAAAGCCCAGCTCCTGTATTATCTACTCACTTTGTAGCATATCGGCCGATACATGCCTGCACTCCCTGGTTCATCAATGCATTCAGCAGCCATGTCTTGTTATCAGATTTTTACGACGGAGTATTAGGGAAAGGGTAGAGATATTTTTTTACAGTCATAAAATTCTGAGAATAAAGTCGCAACGAGAATAGTCATAAAATAAGAGAATAAAGTTGTAAAATTATGAGAATAAAGTCGTAACATTACGAGAATAAAGTCATAAAATTATGAGAATAAAGTCATAAAATTATGAGAATAAAGTCATAAAATTATGAGAATAAAGTCATAAAATTATGAGAATAAAGTCGTAATATTACGAGAAAAAAATTGCTAAATATTAAGAGAGTCTAGTCCTAAAATTACGAGAAACAAGTTGTATTTTATGTCTACTCCTACAAGAAGCACTTTCTTTCCTAAAATGAGGAATGTCGAGCATTATGTGAAGTTATACTTTGGCTCTGGCTCTTGACAAATAAGAAAATCTTTCAGCACCAGCATCAAATGGGCAGCAGGTCAAAGTGGACTCAGGTTGCTGATTGGTGGAGCTGGTCGGCCACCATCTGCTGGTCGGCACTTGAAGCTTTCTTTGTGAAACAGGTTGTGGTATGATGACTTAATTCTCGTAATATTACAACTTTATTCTCGTAATGTTAGGTCTTTATTCTCGAAATAGAAGAAAAAAAAAATCTCTAGCCTGGCCTCAATACTCCGTCGTAAATATTCCTTCAGTTCCAGTGATCTTTACATTTAGCTTTATTACACATGAGTAGATCAGCTAAGAGCAAGCTATATACTTCATTGCTGTTGAAATATGTGGGATAACTAAAACTTCTGGTCCACTCTATAATAATTTCTTCTTTATAGCTGCAATGAAAAACCCTTAATGCTTTCAGATAATGTTTATTGATAGCTGAAATACCTCTATGTTTAATTTTTATTTCACTTTTATAAGTTGAGCTACAGAAAGACTCAATAACTGTTTAGTATCCGATACAAAAAGACATCATCAGAAGTAATTCTGCTGATTAAATGATAGTTACCAGAGTCAGGAGAAATGATGGCTTCATGGTGGAGAGGACATCAGCAATCTACAGGAAATAATTAAAAGAGTCAGACTTCAAGCAGAGCTTCAAAAAGGGCCAGAATCAGTCATCATAATGAAAGGTCACTCTGACACTGTGACCTTTCCAGTAATAAGCAGCACAATTGATGACAAGAGTCTGCCTCACGCAGCATAAACATCAAAAAATCCATCTGTGTTTCAACGCTTAAACATCTCAGGAAGTCATGTTGACTTTGCTAAGATTAGGTATATTGGCTGGTTTGATAAACAATGTCTTAATAATAACCAAAAATGCTTAAATGCAATGAAGTATGTTTAAATATCAACACCTGGGCAGATTAAGGATCTCATTAGCAATATGCCCAAGGATTGCAAGAAATCATGATATGTTCCCATATTCATCATCTTCTTGTATCCCTAATCTGTTTTTGTAGTTCTTGAGCATTCTGGAATTTGAGTGAAAAGTTTTGCTGTGGAGCTCTAATATATATACGGTATATAAAAAAAAAATCTCATAATTTCTAAACTTTTGTTTTAATCTTAATTATTGTAACTGATTTCTTCAGTTTTCTCATTTCAAACTTGCGTTGACCAAAAATCAGCAATTAATCTTCTGGGAATAAAGACAAAAAGCAACTATAAAATAATAAGAACTATGAATTTACAATAATGTTAGAAACAGCAACAACACTATCTAAATACAGCGACTCAATCACAAATCCAAAATTCAACATAAATTCAAGCTACTTCTTTATTTCATAGATATGCTTTCAGCTCATTGTCAATAATTGTTGCCAAGGATTCAAGTGATACAAATTCCAGATATGCCAAAGACGGGCATGCAGAGGTAAGCCAAAAAAAAAGCAGAAGAAATGTCAGATCTAGAGCTGGAACAAGATCAGCATGTCATCCCAACAGCAATAAAATAAAATAATTCCATCTAATATCAATTAGGGCTCAAACTAATGATTGTTTTGCATATCATTTATCCATCCATCCATTCTCTGTCACGCTTATCCCAAGCGGGGTCGCGAGGAATCTGGTGCCTATCTCCAGCTGTCTACTTGCGAGAGGCGGGGTACACGCTAGACAGGTCGGCAGTCCATCACAGGGTTACACAGAGAGAAACAGGACAAACAACCATTCATGCACACACTCACACCTAAGGAGAATTTAGAGAAGCCAATTAATCTAACAGTCATGTTTTTGGACTGTGGAAAGAAGCCGGAGTACCTGGAGAGAACCCACGCATGCAAAGGGAGAACATGCAAACTCCATGCAGAAAGACCCCTGGCCAGGATTTGAACCCAGGACCTTCTTGCTGCAAGGCAACAGTGCTATCAACTTTCCTTAAAGAAGACTTGGAGCTGATCTGTGGTATATTTTTCAGTTTTTGCTAAATAATTTTTATTTCCTAAACAATCCATGGCAGCCTGTTGATGCTGGGGTGTTATTTACTTAAAGCTCTGCATCTTTTCAACAACAATGTGACAAAAGGGAGATAAGCAGAGAGAGGGATATCTCTCCCTCTGATTTTATCTCTGAATCATTAAAAGTTTGCTGACTCTACGGGAACAAAGCTGGCCCTGCGAATCATTTAAGAATGAAGAAACTACTGTCAACTTTGCTCTTTAAGTCCATAAACTTGCAGAGCTAATTATTAGCTTGCAGTCTACCACAGGTTGTCTCAATTTTTGCCCATCTCAGCAACTTAGAACACGTACCGTTAGTGAAACAGATTACAGAGAAATGAAGATGAGAAGTGGTTCTATATGAAGCAAACATTAAGAATAAAGCAACCTTTCATTCCTTTTGCTGCTATGGAAAGAAAGGAGCTCTAAATTTGATCACATTTATTTTACAGGGAAGGCTGCTGGTTCAACTCTCATACATTCCAAATGTTTCTACTTTCAACACTTTTTACAAAAGATAAAATCCAAGATGAAGGGAGGAGGTTATTGCTAAAAGTTTGCAATAAATTTGGTTCCAGACTTTTTTAATTATTTTTTTTTCTAATTTATAAAACAATTTACAGATTTTCATTTTCAAAATATTGTTTTTTACATTTTATTAAACGATTTAGGGAATGAGTTTACATGCTTACAGTGGTTTTAGATTCAGACAAATACAAAACTGACCAGATCACCATCTTATGCTGGAGCTGAGATGTAGAAATATTACGAATACAAGCTGATTAGTCATGCAGTGAAGAGTAAAAATATAACTAAATTAAAAACTCTTAGCTTCTTTAGAAATGGGAAATGTAACAAATTTTATCATAATTAATGTACTAGGTAAAAGGGCTTACCTAAAGCTTACATTAGCATCTCCAAAGGTTCCTTGAACAACAACTTAGTTTACAACACATCTTAACAAGCCAAATATTGTCTTTATTTTTATTATTACATAAAAATAAAAAAGACTGACCATAACAGCTTTATTTTTTCATATATACATGCATATGACTCCAATGATCATATACAGACATGAGTGTTTTTCTACATGATTCTCTATGGTTTATTTCTGTTTCCTTTTTAACCAACATGATGTCAGCTCACCTGCAGTATTATTTTTTTGGGATTCGCATAATTTGCCATATGATAATAAACAAATATCAGGGTAATCAGATAGCAGGGCACAACATCTGTTTCGGACTAGATTTGCAGATAAAACTATTAGTCACCATTAAAACATCATACTGTGGTTCTAAAATGATAAAAAATTCCATTACAGTGCAGAAAAGGTCACATTAGAGCAGCTGGAAAGGTAACATATACTTACATCAGAGGTGTACTGCACCTCATCAACAGCATACTTCTGCTTGAAGTGCTCTTTAGGGAAGATCCTGGACAAAGATACAGACAAAATGACCGGGAGAAGAGAGCAGACTATTGATCAAGTTTCTAATTTAATTAAAAAAATGTTACAATGCAGTTGGGTATGCAGAGCAAGTTGTTGAGTCTTTGTTTTTTTAAGGCACATAATCATGTTATATGTAAATACCAGTAACTCATTCTGGTTGCAGTTTTTTTCTTACAGGGTTCCTACAGCATAAGGCAAGTTAAATTCAAGACTTTTTAAGACTTTTTAAGAACCCGCGGGAACCCTGTCTTAGAGATTACCACATCCCACTGGTACATTATTTGTTAGTTTTGTGTTTTACAGTTTTGCTCAGTTTGTTAGTAATTAAAGTCCTTTGTGTATATCCATAATAACACCACATGACTGGAGGGAAATAAAACAGCTGCATCAATTGTAACCATCAAGCTTTATGGTAATTCTGTGGTACTGTCAGCAGATGGCGCCACATCCATTAATGTCTGCCCATTGCACGGTGCTGAAATTCTATTTAGCCTCAAAAAGGACAGGGTCTAAACACCAAAAGGACAAACAGTTGGTGTAAACAACCTTATTTTAACACAGTCAAATGTTATTTGTTCTTTTTTGTAAAGGCATAAAACATGATTGTGACCCTTTAAACTCAGGTGATCTAACTGTTGTAACTTTCATTGCATTTTGGCTTTGTAGAAATTTTACCAACACCACCTCACATGAAATATCTCTTCTTTCGAAATGTATTAAATATTCCTATTTATAAGTTCCTATTTTTACAGTGTTGTTCAGATCTGTCTGATCGAACTATGAAAGATCTGTGGCCCGAAATGCTCCCCAGATTGACTAAAACAGAGCTGCCTAGAAGGAAATTAGAATAAAAAAGGAAAAAAAAAAAAACATTTTGAAGTGGAGAACATGATTGCTAAATTCCTAACTTAAGGCCTTTCCCATGCTGCTGTCGGTGTTGGATGCGTACAAAGCCTTTTGAGGATTAGTAGGACTTACTCTCCCATCCAAGTAGCATAGCTTTCAGGCAGTTTAGGAACAAAAAGAATGGATTTCCCCGTGTCCACATCTATGGCTCCAAAACAGTCAGCCTCTGTCACTCCAAAGGCCCAGTGGAAGAAAGACTCCTGAAAGAAAAAAAATGATTAAAGGAAACAAACTAAAACACATCTAGAGTGATTTCTATAGAGAATTACATGGAGGGCTTCATATTTGATTAGGTAGAGCTAAACTTAAACGTATTGTTCTCCCGGATCTGTTACCGTTGATTTTTCACAAGGGGCACAGAAAGCAAAACTAAAAAGTGAAATTCTTTAAAAGAGTCTGGTTATGGATTATAAAATGCAAAAACAAAGCAAATAGAAAACCCACCTGCCTGAAGAGGACATCAGTGTCTGTGCAGTATCTCTGGGTTTGCTCTCCCCCTTGCAGCAACACCACTGACTTTGGTACCAAACCGTCTTTGCCTTTCAACCCCTGGCACAATCTTCTGCGATTCTCAGCAAAAAGGGCAGCAGACACCCTCAGGGTGTCATTACCCAGCCAGTAGACGGGTCTGAAAGGACAGGAGGATATGAGGTCAGGCTGGATGGATGCACACTCCATTCATTTGAGACTAGTTCTACCTGCACAGTTCTACAAATTATTCAGAATGTGAAAGGTGA